TACTCTTCCCCGGCAGACACCATAAAAAATCTCAAGCTTTACAAGCTTGATACCTTAGTGTGATTGAGTGGAGATAAGAAAGAAGAAGAAGAAGAAGGAATCAGAGTTTTCGCTTGAATTAAAGTTAGATGATTTCATCACATTTCTAGAAATTTTTCTAGGCTAACTAAATATATAATTAAAATAATATTTTTATAAAATATACTGTTGTCTTCTTCTTTCTTATCTCCACTCAATCATATTAGGATATCAAGCTTGTAGAGCTTGAGACTTGACAACCATCATGACTGGGTGGAGTAGAATGCATCTGCCTTTTTTCTGGGAGCACTACTCAGTGGCAGGCTGACTTAGCTCCAATAGAAATGGCCACATCTGACATGAGGAACAGACGCCATGTGCAGCGGCTCCTAACATGGAGTACAAATGCTGCTCATCCTGTATCCCTGGATTAGGAGCCCTTACAGGGTACTATCAGCCGGGCCAGCTGAGCCCAGGTTTTTTAGGGAGCTTGTTACTGCTCCCCCTCCTACTTTTTCATCCGAGCTTGGGACAGGCAAAGGCGGAGTTAAAAAAAAAAAAAGAGCTGGACGTGATTCGAACACGCAACCTTCTGATCTGGAGTCAGATGCGCTACTGTTGCGCCACCAGCACGTTATATACTGTTGTAATATACAGTCGAACCTCTTTAATTCAACACCCCAAGGGATCAGAGCTTTCGGTTGAATTAAAGGAAGTGTTGAATTAAGGTTAGATGATTAGCTAATCATCTAACTAGCTAAAATAATATATATATATTTTATATAAATAGCTTTGTAATATAAATTAATGATATTAATTGAAACCATTGTGTGTGTACTTTTTATATTTATTTTTTTATTTTCATGTTTAACTTTTAGTATCTGGGACAAAATGGCAATAATACATATTTTCTAAACAAATAATATTTTATTCCAATTGAATAATAGTTTAAAGAAAATAAATATGGAAAATTAAAAGAAAATTAAAAAATATTATTTGAAAAGAATCAAGATTAAAAAAATATATTTTATAGATATCTGTTTTTTCTCTGAAATCCTATTCAGGATGTATTCCAGATAGTCTATTTTTAAAAGACATGCATGCCTTTCTTCCTCAGAAATGTCTTTTAAATAACAAATAGTTTTTATTGTATTAAAGGCATCCACTGCTGCTGTAGGTGTTATTGATGTTTTGTTTAAATCTTTTTCTGTTGGCTCTACCTCTTCATCTTCTTCTTTTCCCATTACCTCCTTTACAATTTCTTCAATGGACTGTTCCCCAGCAACTTGCACATCTTTATCAACTTCCAAGAAGTCAATATAGTTGACATCAATGGCTTGATGTTTTTTTAATGCCTCAAAACATCTGTTCATTTCTTCTTCAACAACTTCTTCCATTGCTTCATCCATCACAAATCTTGAATGAGAAAAACAATTTTTTATTGTGGAAGAACTAACCCCAACCCATGCAGCCTCTAGCCAGCTAATTGCAAAGAGTAAATGTACTTGAGCATTTTTTTTTCTTCCATGCAAGTGAGAAGATACGTTATCATTCGTTTCCTATATTGGTCTTTTAGGGCTTTGATGATACCCATATCACAGGGTTGTAATGCACTTGTAGTTAGGGCGGGCAAAAATATTATTTCAATGTTCTGTAACCCTTCAGGTATTTGGTGGGCTGGGCAATTTTCTAAAATTAATAAAAAAAATTCTTTTTCTTCTTTTGAATATTTGGTCCAATTTTTTCAGCCAATCCGTAAAAATTGCCCCAGTCATCCAGGCTTTTTTATTAAAATGATAATTTGAGGGAATATTCATGCCATGGAAGCAGCGTGGTCTTCTATATTTCCCAATATAAAGTAAAGGCAGTTTTTCACTTCCATCCATATTACAGCATACCAACACTGTAATTCTCTCTTTAGACTTCTTACCCCCTTCACATTTCTCACCTCTGATAGTCATTGTTTGATTAGGCAAAAGTTTATAAAATAACCCTGTTTCATCAGCATTGAAAATGTCCTGTGAGTGTATTTAGCTAAAAGTGAAGGAATAATTCCACCTTTCCAAGTGGCTACACTATTGGCATCCACACTTCCAGCTTCTCCATGAAGTCGTTTAAAAGCAATATTCCTTCTGGTCTTAAACTTTTCTAGCCAGCCATTGCTAGCTTCAAAATTATCTTGACTCATTTTCAAGGCCAAGAGTATAGCCTTTTCTTTCAGGATATTGCCATTTATGGCAAGTTTCATGGCATTTGCCTGCCTTATCCACCTAATCAGGGCTTCTTCAATCTCTGGGAATTCCCCGTCACGATCACGTTTCAAGGTAGAGCTAAAATTAGATTTTAAAAATGCAGATTTTATGGCGAATTTATTTTTAAAAATTGTGCTAATGGTGGACCGTGGAATATTTCTCTCTCTGGAAACTTGACAATGTGATTTTCCTTGTTCTATTTCTTCTATAATTTTCATTTTTTCCACATAAGTGAGCTGGTGATACTGACTACGTTTCCAATTTTTTTTTGGCAGAACCTGACATTCTTGCCCCACTCATTTATTCAAATTAACACAGAATATTGAATTAAAATGTTTATCATAATCATTGTTGGATCATTTTATAAAGATTTATTTATTTAAAAAGAAATTATTTATAAATTTAAAAATAGCTAAAATATTTCAATGTTAAAAATAAAAAAATAAAAATTATTATTAGTTAGCGCATGATGCCGAAATTCCCGCGTAAAAACAACAACAATAACATCCGCAAAATTGCGCAACGGCACTGCAAAGTGGAACTTAAACTAACCAGAAACCAAAAGTGCGCAGGCGCGATCCTATCGGCGCCCGCCGATGCCGATCGTCGCCTCCGTAATACCATTTAGCGGTAAAGTTGCATGTAAAATAACATTCAACTGTCGAAATTCGAATTTTAAAATGGTCGAACTATCGGAACTGTCGTATTATCGATACTGTCGAATTACGGTTTGTTATTTGATAGGCCGGAGGTCGGGACATCGGAACATGGTCGAATTATCGCCGAGTGTCGAATTGGGGTGTGTCGAATTAACGAGGTTATACTGTATTTTAATTGATGTAAATTTGATAGCATATTGGGAATTTTTTTTAAATCTAATTTTTCCAGAATGTTTACATAATAAGGCACAATTTGAATTATATATTATAAACACAAGGTAATAAGACCAAATCCAAATAAATAAATAGTGTTTGACATTTCTGTAACAGCGTTGTTACCAAAATGTTGCACTATTTATTTTTTATTTATTTGGATTTGGTCTTATTACCTTGTATTTTTCCAGAATGTTTCATGATCAAATTTAAGTGATGGATAAAATTGTATTAATACATTTTTAAGCAAAGGAAAAATTCCAAATATTATTTTAATCTAAGTGAATAAATGCAATGGGAAGAAAGCGAATAGATTTAGGAAATAAAGTAAAGGTTGAGGCTCTAAGACACGTCACAGTGATTAGTGGTGGCTAAAGTTAGGCCTAAATCCTCCATCGTCGATTTCAGCAAAGCAATGTAACACTTTTAAGTACGGTGTGCATACCCTGGCAACAGTCACTGTGCCACGTGTGCCAAAGTATTGTATTTTCAGCAACAAATTTGTACTTAAACAAGAATTATCTACACACACACACACAAAAGCCTTTATTAAGACACACTGGTCTTATAGAGGATTCTCCCCGAGATTACAAGAGAGATAGGCCTGTGAAAGTGGGGAATATAACAAGAATTATCTAATGTTTTCGAAATTTATTTAAAAAAATCTGTCAAATTATTGAGGTTATACTTTATTATTTTATACCATTGCAGAATAAGTAGACCAAAGGTACAGATCCATAAAATACAAAGATTTAAAAATCCTAATACAGTAGAACTAACTCCCTGTAAAGAACAACACCTAGTTGTAGAGCCAAAGTGTCCTTTAGGGAGAGGTGTTCTCTTTCCAGAGAGTTGCTATTTATTTTAAAATAAAAAACATCTTTTTTTTATGAGCATATTATATTTACTAATTATTATAGCCTATTATATCCTTGTTTAATACTTAGTAAGCTGGTTATATTAAACTAGTTAAATACCATTAAACATTGAAATTAAATTTTATTTATAAAAATAATCTAATCTTTGTTGAAATTAGATTTTATGAATGGCATAGCTTTTGCAGCTTTGTTTGGCATAGCTTTTGCAGCTTTGTTTGGCTTCTATAATTGAAGTTGACCTCACTTTCTTCTCTTGCACCCTATCATGTAACTTTAATCAAAGGGAAATAAGAAGATCTAATTTCTATTGTTTATTTATAGCGAAATCTCTTCATATCACCAAAATAACAATAGTAATCAGTAATTGCTAAACATGTGCATTGCAAAACTATTTCCACATTTAGTTATTCAATTGAGCATTTTCCATTAATATTTAAGACTTTTTGTGCCATTTTAATATTTTTGAAATAGGAAACTCCATATTTTTTTATATCATTTAAAATGTTGGAAAATTGCAGTGCGTGTTTTATATTTCATTCACTATATCTAACACAACATCATTTGAATAACTTTAAATTGTTCATAAACACAAGGTAAAATAAGACCAAATCCAAATAAATAAATAAATAATGTATGACATTTCAGTAACAATGCTGTTACCAAAACATCACACTATTTATTTAATTGGATTTGGTCTTATTACCTTGTGTTTATAATCTACTAGCCGAATGACCTGGGCAACGCCCGTGTTTTACCCGACTGTAGATGTTACAACGGTGATCCTTAGGTCGCTGGTTCAAATCCGGCTTGAGGGAGCCGGGGAGCACGTGACCTCCCTGTGCGCGCGCATCCGTGACAGAGGCCGATGAGGAAAGACGGTCGTGACTATATATATATAATATAATATATGTATGAGTACATTTTGTGTAGAAATAGGATTAGTTGACTTTATAAGGTAAACTTATTCATACAGTTTGTATCCCTCGATAGCTCAGTTGGCAGAGCGGAGGACTGTAGATGTTACAACGATGATCCTTAGGTCTCTGGTTCAAATCCGGCTCGAGGGAGTTTTTATTTATTTTTTTTTTATTGGCTGCCGGCGAGCACGTGACCTCCCTGTGCGCGCGCATCCGTGACAGAGGCCGATGAGGAAAGACTGTCGTGACTATATATAGGGATAATCCAAATTGTGCCTTATCATTTAAATTGATCATTAAAATATTAAGGTACACAGTAGCATTTCTATGACAGGACACTCCTCCTAGAGGACACCTCTCTACAAAGAACAGTTTTAATCTCCAAAATTACCATTTTTACTATTTTGCAACTCTACCTAGGAGGATACCTCTCCCTAAAGGACACTATGACTTTGCAATTAGGTGTTCTTTACAGGGAGGTTCTACTGCATTAGGTTTTATATACAGAAATTTGAATTAAAAATAGTTTAGAAACTTTTTTATCAATTTATTAAGAATTAAAAAATATATTTATTTGGTTAACCCAGGTTCCTTGAGTATACAGAATAAAAACTACATGCTAAAATATAAACAAAAATGATGGTATTAACTAAATAGAGTCTATTTTTGTTATTTATTTCAAACTAGCCGAATGACCCGGGCAACGCCCGGGTTTTACCCGATTAAATGTTTTTATTCAAATACTATTCGTTACAATTATAAATTGGCACCGTGGATGTCACTTTTGTGAAACGTCCCGCTCCAAACTTTGTGTGTTTTTAAAATATAAAAATAATAATATGAAAGATGATCTGGCTTTTGTTTTCTGCTCGAATGAATGTTTTTCTGTTAGAATTTTGTTCCTGCGTACAAAATAATGAACTGGTTTCACCCGTGGTCTCTGCTTTTTGGAATTTTTCCCAATATAATTTTGTATCTGATAATCAAACATGATACAGCAATATCGTCATCATCATTTTCTGACTAAAAATATATAGTTTTAATAATTGATTTATATATTTTTTAAAATAGCCTATCGTCTTCCCCGTATTTTTTTACCTATGTATGAAAATTTAGTGAACTACTGCGAATTTGTATACCGGACATACAAACCAACAAACATACAAACATTCATTTTTATATATATAAGATATATATTTTTAATATAGGTATTTTAAAATTTTTGAATAAACTTCAAATAATTTTCAATTTTGGGAGTTTTTTATATTTCTCGGCTAGTGGAAATGTCTATTACAGTAGAACCTCCATGAGAGGAAACTCGCGCTAGAGGACACCTTTCTATAAAGGACAGTTTTCATTTGCAAAATTACCATTTTTACTATTTAGAAACTTTCCGGTAAGAGGATACCTCTCCCTAAAGGACACTTTGGCTCTGTAATTAGGTGTCCTTTACAGGGAGGTTCTACTGTATATACGTATAATCAATAAATAATGCCTTGGGAAAGTGTCTGTTGTTTTGAGGTGTCCATTAGTAAGAATATCCGCTAGTGTATTTTCAAAGGGAGGATAATTTTGAGGATAAAACTGTCCGTTGTTTAGAGGTGACCACTAGCAGTGAGTGTCTGCTAAGGGAGGTTCTACTCTATCAATATGAATGAGAAATACAAACCTGTGATGTACCAAAAGTGGCACCATAAAACACTTTAATAATGAATATTACAGTTATCTCTATATATATAAAAGTCAATGTCTGTCTGTTTCGTGATAAACTCAAAAACTACTGAACCAATTGGTACCAAATTTTGCATGTCGCTTTTTATAAACCTGAAGAAAATTTTTGGCTACATTTTGATTAGTATTTTTGGCTATTTCTTTTTTTCATTTGAAGAACTTTTTTTTACGCGGAGTAATCTGGAATGGAATGAATACCCAAATATAGCCATTTTTTATAAGCATCGGTGGTTAAGTGGTAGAATGCTCGCCTGCCACGCCGGCGGCCCGGGTTCGATTCCTGGCAGATGCATTTTTTTTTTACAATTTTTAAAACTCATTTATATTATATATAATATAAATATATATTATTATATCAACTATATTAATTAAATCAAATACCTAAACACTAATATAATACAATTTTTGCCATCACACACACTTTTTTCCTGTAGTTTATGTGTTACTTCAGTATTGCTATTCTATGGCACTTCTAATATTTATTATTGATGTACTTTCAGTATGAAGGAAATTGCAATCGGGGGAATTCTCGGGCGAAGCCGGGTCATACGTCTAGTATTTTATAAATAGAAATTGGGAGAGTAGGATATCGGTAAAAATAAAGAAAAATTTGATATATCACTCTTTAATACCTTCATTGGAGATAACTAAAAACTTTACAATAAACAACTATGTGAGTGTAATATATATAGCTATTGGTGTGTAATCACTGTGTCTGTAATATTTCTAAATAAAAAATTAAAATAAAGAATGTAATATTAGGTGTATGTACATGTGTGTTCCACAGGCACCACCAACACAAACGGCCAATTCCAAGCCGCGCTTGAAAAAATCCGCCAACGACTTCAAGTTTGGCAAAATTATTGGTCAGGGTTCCTTTGCTACAGTGAGTATATCCAAGTTGTCATTTATTTTCCGCAGACTATTCTATTTATTAGCTTGATTATCTTCATTAAGTTTTCCTTTATATAAATTTCACATATTACCTTTAAAAAAAAAAAAAAACATTGCTGATTACTGGTACTATTACTGCTATTCCTGCATGTACCCTACATTTCTGCTTGGAGAATCTGTATAAAACAAGAAGGTCTCAATAAAGCTTTTTATTGTTGTTGTTTTATATTCTCATCCATTTTTTATAATTGGATTTGGTCTTCTTACCTTGGTTCCTAGAGGTGTCAATCAGTCAAACCTGGCAAATAACTCAGCCCATGTTAACCTATGGCTGAGATAAACCCTCTATCTTCCACTCTTCTCTGTTTTCTCTAACATTTCCCCTCCCTCATCTTTGTGGCAAAGCTAATGTTTTCCTTTTTTTTTTTTTACTTGTGTCATTCCTTTTTTGGAAAACTAGTCCTTTACAGTCTTTGAAGAGGTTTAGGCTTTGACCCTACCAGGCTGACCTGTTAGAAATAGTTTATTTTGAACCAAGTTTAGAACTACAGTAAAACAAGATTTAGAACAGGCCATCTCAAGCCATTGAAGTTAGAAAATAATGACAATATCTACCCCACTTGCCCAAAATGTAGCTTGGCACCTGTAGCTCCAGAACACATTTTGGCTTGCATTAGATGTAATAAACAGGACCTTTGGGAGAGACTGATGCTTATCATAAAACAGCTTGAGGAGCATAAACTCATGGAATTCGTGTAATTTATACATATAGGGATAAGAAACAACAATAACAGTAGAACAACCTCCATGAGAGGACACCTCTCTACAAAGGACAGTTTTTCATTGATAAAATTACCATTTTCACAAAATTCAGCTCTTAGAAATAATTTAATTTCTTTATGGTTTGCTTGTTTTGATAGATATCAAGATCTGCGACTTGGGTTATCTAAATTAGTAATAATAATAAATCAGGTTGGAGAGGCCTGAAAGGATGATACATTAAAAAAAGTACATATAACTCTCTCATGATAAATAATTTTAAAAATGTTTGTTTCAGAATCAAATAAATAATAAGGCACAATTTGGATTATAGATTAGAACCACAAGGTAATAAGACCAAACCCAAATAAATAAATTGTGTGTGACATTTTGGTAACAACACTGTTACAGAAACTAACATACTATTTATTTATTTATTTATTTTTTTGAGATTTAATCTTATTACCGTTTAGTTATAATGAAATAAAGTAAGTTTGGGAGATAAAAACAAATTAAAACTTTAAACCAAAAAAAACAAGATAAATTTCATAGAATTAAAAAAAAAAGTAGATTGGTGAAATTAAAGAAAGAGGACTTTATAAAAATAACCCAAAGAGCAATATCATTGCTGAAATTTGTGCAATAAGTTGACAATTGATGTGGTGACAAATGGCCTCAATAGAGCTCTCCTTGCACAAACCTGAAACTGGATGTCATTTGATCATTTATTTTTTCAAGAAGATATTCTCAATTTCAAATGTAATATCTTTTCTGGTCCACCCTGAATCCAAGTAATTGAAGTGTACCACAAGTATTTATTCTATGTACATCTCTTCATTTTTCTATCTTATAATATTTTACATAGAATCTTCTGTCTTGTTACTCCTTTCCAACAGAAAGGGTTCTGTCCTAAATCCATATAGAGAGAGATATTTATAACCCAGGTTCCTGGAGCGCAGAACGACAACTACCCAAAAGACCCAGCTCACTAGTATGGACTAGTGCTAAGTGTTTTTACTCGCATCCTGTTTTGATTGCTGAGATAAAATAATTTCTGTGTGTATACTAATCTTGCCCTATTTCTGAAACAAACCAGCTTGATATGTAATAATGACCCAAAACCACAGAGTTGGTCAATGGTCAAACTTATTTAATTATTATCACAGAATGACCTTAGTTTTCTTGCAGCACACAGGATAAAGGGATGTTACACTATAAAAGATAGATATGCCAGGTAGTAAGTGATGACTCTGTGTTCCAGGTCTACCTCTCCAAGGATGTCCATACGAATAAAGAATTTGCAAGTAAGTTGAGACCAAGTTTTACCCCTTTCAGAAATGTCATCTACTTTACCGCCCTTACTATAATGAGAGAAAAAAATGAGAGGACTTGCTTTATCAGTGTGTCAGCAATATTTCCTGTTTAATATCCTCTCTATTATTAACACAAGGTAATAAGACCAAATCCAAATAAATAAATAGCGTGTGACATTTCGGTAACAGCGTTGTTACCATCTTTCAGTACTTTTGTCTGAAGATGGTAACAACCTTGTTACCGAAACATCACACACTATTTATTTATTTAGATTTGGTCTTATTACCTTGTGTTTATAATCTATAATCCAAGTTGTGCCTTATCCTCTCTATTATTGTATTGGACTGTACAAATTACACCTCATTATGACAGCAACTTGGTTCTCATCATTCTAAAGTCCCAAGTGATGTAGTTATAACAAGGTGGCGCATGACAGATAAGGTTTAGGGAATTTGTGGACCAAAAGATTCTCTTGGACTGCAGAAATAGATCCATTTTAGAGCTTTAGCCCATTGCACTTGTGAAGGAGACTTTTGATTCTACAGTTGACACAGTATGGTGTGTTGTGAGGTTGATACTGTTTTAATGTCCATCCATACAGAGTTCAAAACAACAACTCACTCACCCGTGCAGGCAAGGTCACGCTCCGCTGCGTCACGTGGGAAAACATAGGTACATGTTTTCTTACATGTTCTCAGCACAGATACAATGTCTTGTAGTGTTGACACAGTATGTTGTGGGGTTGACACAGTGCGGTGTGTGCAGTCAAGGTATGTGAGAAGAGGCATATCATCCGGGAGAAGAAACAGAAGGCCATCATGCGGGAGAAACAGATCATGAATATCCTCAATGACTTTCCAAGCCCATTCTTCATCAAGCTCTTCTGCACATTCCAAGATGAGGAAAGGCTCTGTATCCTTTCTTTTACTCCTATATATATGGAATTTCAAAACCCCTCTCCTGTCCATTTTTTTTTCAATTTGTTAAAAAAAATAAATTTATTTGCCTCTATGTGGCTCAATCTAACTGAAAATAAAGACTTTTCCATTCAAAATGCAAAAAAAAAAAAAAAATAATAATAATAAATCTAGTTTGAATATCCAGAAAAGTGTCAAAACATTCCTGGTCTACCTGGTGCAAAAATACGCTGGCAGATGTCTAATGGAAAGATCAAAATGTTCCTTCTACATAACACAGCTGGCCACTTTCTGATGTTAGAAAGTGTCTCTTGTTCACAGAATGGGCTTCCAATAAAATAAAAGTGGCATAGTTTGGGCAAGATTTAAAGCTTTGTTGTAATCTTGTACTACAATGTACAATACTGAAATGTTGGCAAGCCCGAGTGATATGTGTTGGTCGTCTTTTTTTTTTTTGAAGGAGACAGAGGCAATTTTGTTGACATTTGGTTATCTTGTGTCTTCAATAAAGATCACAACAACAAAAGCTTTATTAAGACCCTTTAGTCTTATACAGATTCTCCAAGCAGAAATATAGGATACATGCAGGGAAAACAGTGATAGAACTTAATGGTAGCATAAAATTTATATACAGAGAAAACTATATATAAGACAATCAAGCTAATAGATTAATCTGGGCAAATTGGAGGCAAAGAAAGTTTCTATACATGGATTTACCACGTCGTGTTAGGTCTTGTGGAGTTATTTGGTAGCAGCTCTGAAACTTCTTAGCTATGTAGAACTTTTCCTAGTCATCTTCCCCGCCCTTGGCATTGCCGGTTGGACTTCACTTGTAAGCATTTCGACCTGTGAGTCAATTGTGGAGTATTCCGCTAGTAAATTAGTTGAATCCCTCAAGCTGCCCTTGTACGATGTAGCCTTGTCAGCTGTTCAGGAATACTTGCCAACAGAACAAAACTTTGTATTATCTTTTGCCTTTATATTGTTTAGACCATTAAATTTTAGGACAAGTGGTAGATGATCCAAATAAGGCATGCATTCAATAGTAAGATCAACAATCAGCTCAAGTAGTGCAGGCGAAACATAGAAAGATCTATAACTGAGGATCCTTGAGTTGAAGAATAAAAGTAAAGTTTCCATATTTATCACTGATAGATCTGCCATCTATTACCGTGAGTGAACTCTCACAGAGAAAATAATACTTCTACAGAGTCCACCTATATTCCAGGAGATTATTCTATGAGGATTGTTCCTTAGTGATGTAACATTTTATTTTGATAATTAGAATGTTTATGCTGAGCTACAAGTGCAGATTGGCGATTTTTATTCGTTTTTAGGAATGAGCAATCATGTGATAGTTCTAATAAAGATCACTGTAATATCTTTCAGAGTTATTGTCTCAATCCCGATATACATGCTTAAAGGTACAACTTCTCAAGTTGAGTGTATATAGATGGCAAATTGTTACCTTATATTTAATTAGCCAAACTTGTCTTATTGTTTGTGGAAGATCATTGTTCAATGCAAATATTTTTATACAATTCTAATGTCCATAGTTTGCTAAAATGCCATAACTAAGATTCCACCCTTCATTCACATATATACACTGAATTGTAGAATACAGTATTAGAGAGTTCTAAAAAGTGGTCTTGTGGATTAAATTGGTGAAACTGCTGGGAGAGGGTTCCCCACTGATGAGCCAAGCCCTTCCAATATTTTTTTTTATCGCAGTAAGGACAGTAGTAAGTTTGTTTTATTTGAAAAATGAAATATTCATGCATGATGGTTTTATTTATTATATATATATAGATGGTGTGTTATTTTTTTAAACTCACTTGTAGAGTTTATTAACAAAGCACAACCCATCGCAAGATCACATTGTTAATGACATTCAGATGTTTCAAGCCATCATCAAATTTCAGTGTTAAATGGTCAAATGTTAATATGATGCTTTAGCACACCATCCTTTTAAAGAAATTTAAACTATTTTAACATATATGATTTTTTCTGAAATGAAATAATTTTTTACTGCCTGCCCTTACTGCAATTCAGGAGTTTAGCCTTTGCCGGTCCCAAGCCCGGATGAAAAAGGAGGAGGGGGAGCAGTAACAAGCTCACTAAAAAAAACCTGGGTTCAGCTGGCCCGGCTGATAGTACCCTGTAAGGGCTCCTAATCCAGGGATACAGGATGAGCAGCGTCTGTACTCCATGTTAGGAGCGGCTGCACATGGCGTCTGTTCCTCATGTCAGAGGCGGCCATTTTTTGAGAGCTAAGTCGGCCTGCCACTGAGTAGTGCTCCCAGTCTTGATGACAAAAGCAGACGCATTCTACTTCACCCAGTGTGGAGATAGGAAAGAAGAAGAAGAAGGAGTTTAGCTTCAATATCGGTATAAAAGGAAAACAGCCAAATGTAATATTACAGCGGTAGATTAAACTGACGAAACCACTGGGAGGGTTTACCACTGATGAACTTCCAACCCTTCCATAATTTTATCATTGCAGTAAGGGAAGTAGAAAATTGTTTTGTTTCAGAAAGAATTCTATGCGTCAAAACTAGTTTAGATTTATTATATGAGTAAATGTTTTTCCACACTAATCCAGTACATTCTTTATATAGAATAAAAAAACCCTGTACAATTTATAAACGAAAACAATAAAGCATCAAGCATTCTTTCTTCCTTTTATTCTCTTCTATGTTCACAAATGGTTTACTTTTTCTCCTCAACTCCTTCCTCAGATTTTGTGATGAACTATGCAAGCCACGGAGAGATGCTACCCTACATTATCAAGGTGGGTTCCTTCGACGAGGAGTGCGCCAGGTTCTACTGCGGGGAGATCCTGCTTGCCCTGGACCACCTGCACAACCTGAACATTGTCCACAGGTGGGTGGTGTACTGCCGGCTCCTACACAGGCTCACCACTGCTGGTGTCTTGGCAGGGACCTCAAACCTGAGAACATTCTCCTAGACCAAAACATGCACATCCAAATTACAGACTTTGGCTCCGCCAAGATCCTCAATGCTCCAGAAGGTAAAAATCTCATTGCCTCGCTGTAAACTTGAAAACACCAGTTCTCGTCCGATCACCGAAGTTATGTCGGGCCCTGTCAGTACTTGGGAGAGTGACCACCTGGGTACAATGGGTGCTGTAGGCTATTACAGGGGTTTGGTGGAAGGATGGTCTAAACCGTTGTTTTTTTTTGGCCGCTACAACCCGTGATAAAATCCCGCATTGGGTACTTTTTTCTGATTTAAAAAAAAAAAAAAAATTCTTCAATGGCCCCCGATTCTTGCAAAAGTCTAACCTCACCAGCGAGTGTAAGTAACCAAACTGGGCTCTGGCACATTTGTAAGTGCAAAGTTGAACTGCTTTTTACATGTATAGACATGTGGTTCACTTACAATAAAAGCGGTCGCCTACTTCTACCCACCTCTTTATAAAAGAGAATTAGTTCAGGGAAGTGAGTGTACACCTTTACATTACCAAAATTAACACCAATTAGCTGTTCTCCTGTAAACACCTCTCTTTAAAAGACCCAGCAACTAGAGAGAGATTCTGTTATTAAACGAAAAAACATGGTGAAGGAAGACGAGTTTCTTTTATTGATGCATAGGTGCAAGCTTCCGGGTAAAAACCCTTCAACAGGCGAGAAATGATGAGCGACTTATAAGGACTATGGTACAAATGGTAGGAAAGAATAAATATATATAAAAAAGAAAGTTTTTAAACTATTTATATATATTATGTTGATGTTAATATTAACATATATAAATAGTTTAAAAACTTTCTTTTTTATATATATTTATTCTTTCCTACCATTTGTACCATAGTCCTTATAAGTCGCTCATCATTTCTCGCCTGTTGAAGGGTTTTTACCCGAAAGCTTGCATCTATGCATCAATAAAAGAAACTCGTCTTCCTTCACCATGTTTTTTTCGTTTAATTTCAAATCAGGAAGAATTCTTTATCTATATTTAGATTCTGTTATGCCCCAACATTTTAAAAAATTATTTCATTTGGAAATTTTGGGTTTTGTGCTGTCTCAACACACACACACCTATAGGGTAAAAATATATATCTGGGCTATAAAGAGTGACAGTGACATCAGCATTTAAAAAATGACAATTAAACTTGACCTAAGGGTCACCTGTCTTGGGAGTTTTCCTGTTTTTAAGAGATTATTTTTAATGGAAACCATTTTTTTTTCTGAAAAATTTTGTTTTCTTAGACATCTGACCCCATCTAATGCCTTAATGTTTTCTTTTTTTAAGCCACTGAAAGCTAAATGTATTGAATATTCTATATTAAGAGAGCCTTAAGAGAATAGTTTTAAGAATTTTGAAACCAATTTTATTCAACCTGTCTTTTGAGTACATTTTTTGTTTGGAACCAAATAGAAACTCCCAGGTTTATCTAAAGATGTGTAATTTACACCATTTGTGGAATTAAATATAAGTAACCTTCAGTGTCCAATGTAACACCCTCATTAGACCAGGGCAGTGATTCTCAACTGGTGCAATTTTAAATTTTGACCCCTCCCTGGAGATTTTTGACCTTGTGTGTCTGTGTTAAAAAAAAAAAAAAACTTATTACAGTAGAACCTCCTTTAGCGGACACCTCTCTACAAAGGACAATTTTCATTTGCAAAATTACCATTTTTACTATTTAGCAACTCTCCGGTAAGAGGACAACTCTCCCTAAAGGACACTTTGGCTCTGCAATTAGGTGATGTCCATTACAGGGAGGTTCTATTGTATTAAAAAAGATAAGGCACGATTTGAATTATAAATTATAAATACAAGATAATAAGACCAAATCTCTAAATAAATAATTTTGTCTGATGATGGTAACAACGCTGTTACCGAAACATCACACACTATTTATTTATTTGGATTTGGTGTTATTACCTTTTATTTAAAAAAAAAAGAATCATAAGGTAACAAGACCACAATCAAGTAAACAAACATTGACAGTTGATGCTATTTAAAACACAAGAACCAAATTTTTAAGGATTTCTTCCTTTACATTTTTTTTTATAAAACTGAAAAGCCTTTCAAACCTTTCATGGCCCTAATTCAATATCATATTAGAGCCATGTTTTAAAGTTTATTTATTTGGATGCCGTCCATGTGTGTTACCTTATGTTTCTAACCTATTATTCAAATTGTACCTTAACACAATTCTTCTTTCTTATCTCCACACTGGGTGAAGTAAAATGCGTCTGCCTTTGTCATTAAGACTGGGAGCACTACTCAGTGGCAGGCCGACTTAGCTCCAAAAAAAAAATGGCCGCCTCTGACATGAGGAACAGACGCCATGTGCAGCCGCTCCTAACATGGAGTACAGACCCTGCTCATCCTGTATCCCTGGATTAGGAGCCCTTACAGGGTACTATCAGCCGGGCCAGCTGAACCCAGGTTTTTTAGCGAGCTTGTTACTGCTCCCCCTCCTCCTTTTTCATCCGGGCTTGGGACCAGCAAAGGCGGTTAACACATTTTATATTTAAAAATAAATGATATTTTTATATCAAGGCTTAATTTTTTACTTTTACAATCCATAATTTTTGTGTTTGTGGTTGTGTATTAATGCAATAGTGTTCTGCATTGAAAGTTAAGCATGAAACACATTCTGTTGTGTGTGTTGAACAAATGAAAAAAAGAGCCAATTATATATTATCAATTCATATTATTATTTTAAAATGAGTTAGATGATAATCATAGTAATTCATCTATCATTATGATAAGCTGTTCATATAACCCCGAATATAATTCTACACCAACACTTTAATTCAACTTCTTCTTCTTCTTTCTTATCTCAAAGCCATGATAATCATGGTGGGTAGTTAGCGACTGCTTTTACTGTAAGCGCACCACATGTGTACACATGTGAAAAGCAGTTCGACTTTGCACTTACAAATGTGCCAGAACCCCGTTTGGTTACTTGCACTCGCTGGTGGGGTTGGACTTTTGCAAGAATCGGGGCCATTGGAGCATTTTTTTTTAAACAGAAAAAAGTCAACTGAAAGCTCTGATCCCTTTGTGGTATTGAATTAAAGAAGTTTATTAAATTAAAGAGGATTGTATAAAGGAATATTAGAAAAATAACTGGTTCTTGAAATAATAAATTTCCTCAAAAGTTCGAGGTAATAAGACCAAATACAAATAAATAGTGTGTGACATTTCGGTAAAAAATGCGGTTAATGAAACATCACACACTATTTATTTATTCGGATTCAGTCTTATCACTTTGTGTTTCTAATCTATAATCCAAATTGTGCCTTATCATTCCTCAAAAGTTGGGGTTTGCCGCAAAAAGCTAATTTATGATAGAAACCTGAAATGTTGGATTTTGACTTTGCATAATATGTTATGAAACTTTGAAACTATTATAGACGCATATGATTCTTTAAAAAATTAAACAATTTCTACTGCCCTTTAAAGAATCATATGCGTCTAAAATAGTTTTGAATTTTCATAACAGATGGTGCACTAATGCATCATAATATGTTCTAAACAATATTATAATTTTTGAGTTCCAGTATTTTGCACTGATAGATGGACGGATATATTAGCATGATGAGCTGTCAAAATGTGTCACGTATTAGCCTATGGACAGTGAGGGTTGTCTGCAGCGGAGGATGGGTCAACAAGGAAGAATTCCTTTGTGGGGACGGCCCAGTATGTCTCCCCGGAGATGCTGACAGACAAGAAGGCCTCCACAAGGTAAGGACAATCAGACAAGTTGTGAGAGGATGTGTCAGTCACATACTGTATGTTATGTAGCTCGGATCTTTGGGCTCTGGGCTGTATCATCTACCAAATGGTATCTGGACTACCTCCATTCCGGGCCCCGTAAGTATCTCTTCTTTTCACATCTCTGTGATATCTACAGTTCCATGTAGATCACTCCCAGTCTTTGAGACCCTTCAACTCCATGAGTTATATGGGAAAGGAGGGTACAGTTCCAGGAGAGAACATAGCATACACACCTCATTGGAGGCTCTGTCATGTCAGGCCAAGTCATGAGATGTCTTTCATCCTAAATGGAGTCTCTGATGAGATACCAGGTTAAGTCATGTGTTCAGAATGCCTATCATTGGAGGTTCCATTATACTAATATTTAACCATTATCAGACAGAAGAAAATTAAGCTTAATCAGGGATATTGAGTCAAAGTTTTTTTTTTTTTGCTTATCCAGTGTACACGTGGTACAGGCCAAGATAATCATGGTGGGTAGATGTAGGTGACTGCTTTTACTGTAAGTGCACCACATGTCTACACATGGGAAAAGCAGTTGAGTCAAAGTACTTCCTACATGCCTAAAGAAGTGATGCACTTGCAGTAAAAGGTAGTCACCATGATTTATCATGGCCTGTACCATGTGTAGTAGGGATAAGTAAGGGAAGAAAAAAAAAAAAAGAAACGCTTGCCAAGCTGAGGTGATTGTGATATAGTGAATCTGAACATTCATTCATCACTTGTGAAATTATTTTATTAAGACGAAAACTCTTTGTGCATGTATCATATGTAAATTCCAGTGTTATTTTTTTTTCCTTTTATTTTGTATCTTTTTTATTTTCCTTGGTTTTACCCTTTCAAATCTGTTTATGAGCTCAATTGTCTTAATTACAATGTATAAAGGGGGTCGGTGGAAGGATGGTCTAAACCATTGGTTTTCGACCGCTACGACCCGGGTTCGATTCCCGCATTGGGCAATTTTTTCTAATTAAAATATGCTCCAATGGCCCTCGATTCTTGCAAAAGTCCAACCCCACCAGCGAGTGCAAGTAATCAAACAGGGCTCTGGCACATTTGTAAATGCAAAGTTGAATTGCTTTTCACTTGTGTAGACATGTGATGCACTTACAGTAAAAGCAATCGCCCACTTCTACCCACCAAGATTATCATGGCCTGTACCACGTGTACTAGGGATAAGCAAAAAAAAAAATTAAAATTTCATTTTCTCAATATTGATATGGTGATTAGCTTTTGCTTTTTTATCTTCATTTGCGGTGAATCCATCCTCCAATTTACCCAGACTAATCTATTAGCTTGATTGTCTTTATATAATTTTTCCTGTATATAAATATCATATTACCATTAAGGTACTATTACTTTTTCCTGCATGTAACCTACATTTCTGCTTGGAGAATCT